TAAAACTGAATATAACTTCTTTAATAAAGACATTCGTCGAGCCATTCATAAGGATAAGGATGTGACTGCTAAGCATCTTTCTTGTTCAAACGTCTTCTATGTAAGTCTAAGGTGACTTTCATGCGCCTACACATGACTTAGACACATTCAACACGTATGGGAAACGCCTATTATTTTCAAGACGCATAAAAAAACACTTTTTCTATATAGACACATAACTGAAGTCGTACTTTTTCTAGAGTGAAACCATCTATAACTTGTAGTCCAACAGATATACGTATCGAATTATCGATTATTCCTAATAATTACTTACACTATTACAACTAGAAGTTCACTGAGCTATTCAGATCTACGAAACTTGCCGCTAATGTAACCAATTTTAAATGTTTCACAAACTGTTCACTTTGTTAAGTCAGGCTAAAGGACTGTTCGTATATTTTGTAAATCGATATAAAACTAAAGCAACACCTAAATCTAGCAGATACTGAAAATATGAGAACGCAAATGTATTGTGAACTAAAACAAGAACTTGCGAGTCTTTCTTACGAAGTAAATCACTTATTTTGCGGATAGTAGCCAATTTTAAAATATTTGTTAGTGCTACAAGACAGTCATCAAGAAAATCCAGATTTTCAGAAGAAATGTAACTGTCACTGATTAAGGATGCTCGACTCCTGAAACGGAAAAACGACTTTGACGTTAAATATGGTGCAGTACTCAATGATTCTCTACAATTTGAGATCTCTTTCAGTTTTCCACGACATTTCTTTCAATAGTTATGGGCACTTTGCCGAGAATTCTGAAAAAAAAACGATTCTTATATTTTATCGTTCCTAATTTAAACCACGACTTAAACCCTAACATTTTAGCGACATAAATCAATTCTCGATCTGCTTAAATAACGCTGTATGAAAGGACAGTAACCTTGTTATATGCGTAGAAGATAACTTAATTAAATCAGTCGTTGTTGCATGAACATTTACTAAATAAATATACATTCGAATAAGGCTAACGACAATAATTGTTTTATTTTCTTATTCAGTGTGATTCCTAATCTAATACAATGCTGGATGATATGCCATAATAGCCAGTGATTTACTCATTACTTCACATTCACATAAATTAACAGCACAATGAAAGTTTTAATGACGTTAATAACTAGATTACATTTTTTTTAATGCACTTTTAATCAAAAAGTGATAATCTCACCACAGCATCTCCTTTTTTATTTATAAATAGTATTGTGGATTAGACTTTAATACTGGATAATAAACACATGCGATTTACACGCACACCTATTCTTTCCAAATCATCAAGAATCATATAGCAATAAAGAATGGAGAAATAAACGGACATATCCGATGATTTGATTCGATATCTCAACCCTGTTCGAAAATAGAATGAAACAAATGTAATGCCGACTGAAACAATAATTTGCGAATCTATTTAATGAACAATCGCGATATTGATTTGTGTTAAACGTTTTGATCCTGCAATTTATTGGTGTTTTTAACCACACTAAAATTGAGTTTTGATCTAGGTATTCGAACGTTAACAGACTAAATACCAGCGAGAACCAGAGCATTCTAGATAAATACTATAATTTAGTAGTAGTCTCTAACACAAATGAAACCCACTTTTATCTCTTGCACATCTGCAAAGTAATTATCGTCTGTACCTTGTAAGTAGAGGTGATTCTGAGTAATTATCGTTCATTGCAAACATACGATCATTCTTTAACAAAGAACAAACATTTCTTGACCCTAAGGTCAAAATTGTACTGATGAATTGATGTTACAACATTTCTATCCATCCATGCATATTTTGACCGACATTTATGGATCGTATCAAATATCCGGTCACTGGCATCCATTTTGCGACAAACCCACACGTGTTCGATTCAACGTTAATGAGAAAATTATTTGATTGAAATTCCGCTATTTTGATGAAACATAAAAACAAAAAGTAAAAACAGATAAGCAACAAACCGATGTAATCAATGGAAAATATATTGGCAAGGAAAAATACAAATATGTTCAAAAAATCGAACAACCTATTCATATATCATCCTGATAACAGTGTGCAAATATCCCATTCGTCAAGAGTAAACATTTGTCTTCTTATACAGGTGTAGACACGAATACCATGATCACCAACCACAGACTGATGGACAGTTGAAAAAGTGAATAATATATTTCAACAAATATCATTATAGAAATAGTCATACATAGACTTATTTCAAAAACAAACATGTATCCTTCACACTTTTTTCTTCATAATATTCTCTGATTATGACCTTTTGATCAAAAATATTTTTTTATCTTAGCTTTATTTAATATTTTCACAAATCAAACGAATTATTTTCTATTTTTCTTTAAATTTTACTTTTTTCTGAACTTTTATCTTTCTTCACAAAAAACTCTCTAATAGACGCATTATGCACAAGCTTAGTTTACACAACAAATACCACAGACTCCAAAGAACAGACTGATACGAAGAACTTTCTACTCACCATCATATCAACATCCAAGGTCACATATAAGAGGCTTGATAGCAAAACACCCAATCTCTCTACTGCTCACCTCTGGAAAACAACCGTAAAAGAAAGAGCACATTAAGCATAATTTTATCAATAACGTAAAAAATATCCATACAGTACTGCACGACGTCAGTTCATAAAATAAAACGCAAAGTCAAGATGACAAAGAAGAGTTTCATCTGAATTCAGCCCACACTTACACCCTAAGACAAATCATTTGCGTTCAATATGATAAAGTACGTTCTATATTTCACCAAAATCTCGAAAAAAACTGCATTTCTAATGGCAAATGGGAGCAAACAATGAATATGAAAGTCAGTAAAAACAACAATTGAAATGTAACTGTAGAAAAATTCTGGGGTGCGGCTTTTGTTGAAGTGACTGCCGACGGTTGAGCACAGTAGGAACTGTGAGCGCGATTGTAACAGTGTAGTTACGCACTATTATCCACGCTCCAAACGTCAATACTCCTATGCTGTGCTTTTTTTCTCCACATATGAGTTGACATTTTTTAGTTAAAAACAACAGCTCATAACAACGCTTAAGACCTTAGTGAACATACTTAATGAGCTCGTAAGTATTGTCAAAATTATTCACTTCCCATGTACTTTTACAAATACTTCTCCAAGATTATAATGCTTAACTTTATTGCTATGGAGTACTTTGTGAAAGTGCTTGTAAAGTGGAAAATATAGTACTTACAAGTAAACTTACTTATGAAAAAGACAAGCATCGGCTTCATTACGAAAGCGAAATACTTATCCTAACTACTTGGGCCCAAGTATGTACATTCACTAGGCTAGTCCGCAGAATGGCGAAATAAATACCATACATTTCTGACGTTAAAAAACGCACTTGCTTATAAGAAAGCCTTGCAGAAATCCACTCACAAAGTCAGATTTCCAATTCTAAATTCTTACTACCATTATCGAGATATCTATGCCACACATCAACTATTTCTTTCTAAAACAAACCACAAAGCAACTGTTTCATTAAAATAACTAACGCCTGAAAAGTAGAAATTAAGTTGCGAAACTTAATTTCTAGTAAAAACTTAAGTAAAAACTTCCTGTCATCAATAAAAATAGCTTAAACTATAGAAAAAAACAACCGATCAATGAATTTTGTGAAGTCCAAAAACAGAAGTGACAATAAAATGAATATGATGCATATGTAAAAGAATACGAGAATACAATTAGCCTGTTTTTACCAAGAAGAAACGTAAAAAATAGTGAGCAAGAGAAAATCAAATAAGATTAACAAGCAATGAGAAAAATAGAATGTTTGATCTAACACTATCAAAAATACATACTGGAATGATTATTGACTTCATAAGAAAATAGAAGCGCATATATACAAATCTGAGTCGTAAAAATTAGGAGAGAGTTCCATGTCAGTCAATAATGCCTTGCTTCACACGTTCTAAACGCTGACGAAGTAATTCATGAGCTTGTATCATCGACACATCTGGAAAAGTCGTTGATCCTGATGCTAAAGTTGATTCTATCGACAATCTTTGCTGTGAAGACTAAAATGCAGAAAAGGATTGAGTAAGCAAAGCAGACCAAATACTAAGGAGCCACAGATTAAAGAAAATGCAATAAGTAAATTTCACACATGATGATTGAAATCGTCAACTCGATGCACAATCACGTTTTATAGTAATATGTTAGCAGCAATCGTTACTTTAATGTAAAATAGCAAAAAAACAGCTTTGCCATTTCGAAAGTAGTATGATTAAAGAAGAATAGTGAAGATAATCATCATTGACAAAGACTATTAGCAATAAGTTGAACCTATATCTGAGCAGTTGTAGACCAAATGACTAGTTACTAATAACGTCAAATATGATGATCCCCTACGCGTATAGTATCATTGCATATTTCAACGAGGTTGACATATAAGCGATAAACCGCTCAGACATGTCTAACGGAGCTAAACAGACACAATGTGATCATTTCATTGTCTCCACAGAAAAAAAGGACTTACACTCGTTTGAGCATCTGGTATACTTTTATCACGCGTAGACGAATTATTTAAATGTCCTTTAATCTAAACAGTATACAACTATTGTCATGAAACACTGGGAAACTAGCCAGCGCTCATGAAAAAAACAATAATATAAGAAAACAAAGAACAAATAAATTTTCATCACGTGCACACCATTACGCAATATCACAAGCATGCCGATCTGTTGAAAGATACAGGAAAAAGCCAACTTGAGAATCATTCCCTATTATATAGAAATCAAACATGAACCCTAGTACCTACCGTCGATTTGTTGCCTGCTTCGCTTTTGGTTGCTATTCTCAATCCACACTGTTGTCGCATCAAATCTGAACGTTGTCCGTATAATTTTGGATCAAAAACTGATGTCGATCGTGTTGTTGATCATCAATGGTCTGATTATAAAATGAAAGATCGTCGCCTAGTTCAGTTTTAAACTTTTCTTTGATTACTCTCATTTTCCGTTATAAGCCGGTACGAAATCAGGTATTTGTAATGATGGTGATGGTTGATCATTCGAATGAGGTGACGAGGAAATAATGTCGATCCATACAAATTGTTGTTTCAATTGTTGCGTCTTTTCGCGATGTAAACGCGTATATTGTGAGAGCAACGTAGCGCCACCACCATCACCACCAATCTTAGTACTATTATTATCGCTCAGTGGTAGAGATGCAGGTTGCTGCTGTTGTCTTTCATTTACAATTTTTTTCAAGTCGTCATTAACAAACTATTGAAACGAATCCGTTGTCGAAGATAAATACGGCTGAATGTCGGTGTTTGGATATTTCAGTGTGAAATCGTATAAATCGTTCAGATCTTCTTTTGTTCGTTCACGTTGGACAAATTTTTGAAATATTTCCTTCAACAGTTGCACTTTTGATGTGGCCAAAGGTATCGGGTCTATTGGACGCAATTTTCGATGAATGTAACGTCACGGTTCATCCGATGATTTTGCCAAATCATTCAAAATGAAACGTTGTCGATCATCAACCAATTGCGTCATATACGTTTTGACGATACACAGTGGAAAATCGAATGTGCGTTCTGCCCACTTCTTGGATGGAATTAACTTTAGAAACACGAATATTTCATCGCCAAATTTCATTTAGCACTTGTGAATAGATTATTTCATCACTTTTCAAACATTGCGGAAACATTCGAACAAGACGATAGTGACACTGTAAACGGCATAAACGAAGATATAAATTTATACGCTCAAACTTTTTTCTTTCTTACTCTGAGAATTAGTTTGAGCAATAGATCATGAATCGAATAACACGACAACATTCGGTCAACAATTTAATTAAAGCACATATGACATTTGTTTTATTTGAATTATTGAGAATTTTCTGACAAATAATGTTCACAATTTTCACAATGCCCTGGTGCGAATCTAAAATGTTATTCCATATAAAAACTCAACTAGAACTCAAAATGTGCTTACCAAGTCTTTGTAACACGTTTTCGTTTCCATTTATTGCTGATGTGTTAGCAAAAGTGGTCGTTGACGACGATAAAGAGAAAGCGGCGATGGACTGACGATGGGCAATGAGCGCGACAGAATGTGGTTTCAGATATTCACATTTCGTCGCATCATTCAACACTTCGTCGATTTGAGCCAACGATGACAGACTATTGAAAAATCATGATCAGCTATTATGACTAAATCAATCGACTGACGACAATCTTGACTCGCTTTCAAATATGTAACAGAAACTGATGTCACGGGTACACTACAAATATTAAAACATGTGATAAATATACAGTTTTACAAAATAAACATTCATTTTAGCTATTGAATATAACTTTTATCTCATCAAATATATAATCATGCTGTAGTACACTGCGGGTCAAACTGTCAGGTATATACAAAAAGGCAATGACACGTACATTCTTGGTGGCAACTCTGACGTCACGTTCGTCTACCATTAATTGATTTTTGTCACTCAACTAAGAAATATGAAACACAAAGTCAGAGACAGAAGACTAAAAGTATGCCGACATACTTTTCCTAATTGTTTCAGAACTATTTCTCTATTGAACAAGTAAACAGTACCGATCAGTGTCAATGCTGCATTTCGAACCATTGTATCACGATCCGATATTTATTTTGCCACTTCTTTCAATGTTGGTATAACCGATTGTCCTAAGGAACGATGCCAAAACATTCGATCATACTGTTCATTTCTTCTAGACATTCTATGAAAAACCGACAAAAGACCATAATAAGATTAAGAGATGGTAATTGGCTGCACAAACCACCTCGCTGTTGTGAGTTTTTCGATTTGATACCGTCTAACAGGTATTGCATGATTTTATTCATTGGATAAAGATCACATATGAGATGCAACACTTGGCGTACACTATGACGTATCAGATCTTTATTCTCACCCATCTAACACACAATACAATCGAATTCAGGTAATCATCTCAACTTAGAAAAACAGCCGCTCTCTCGTTCACATCTCCAGAATAAAACAAGGAAGAAATGCTGACGCTTTATATTATAGAAGACGATACTGTTTCTTCGTTGACAAACACGTGCATAAATGTTGTAGAAACTCCATTATTTTCATAAGCACCGACGGGTTTGTTTCATAAAAGCGTAATGTTAACCAGCGTAATATTAAATCTAAATTTGATGTAGTTTCATCTAAATAATCATCGCAGGCCTAAAACAAAGGAGAAACATAAATATATCTACAGTTCAAGTAGAGAATTATTGAAATAACACTTCAAGATTATACAAAACTCCATACTTTTTGTAATGTGGTCAATGTTTGAATATGATGTTTGAAATCATCGTGAAACATTTGTTGCAGTAATGCTTTATTAAAATATGTTTCCATTTCGCCACGAAACTGTTCGATAAATTCCCAACGTAGCACATCAAAATTCCATTTTACATAGTAAACATAATCTTAAGTTCCATTTTAACACCTAAACAATGAATGACAAACAAATTTAGATATTTAACCATGAAGCCCAACTTACCTTCAACGTCTTTTCATTTTCCATTCGCTTTTCTTTATTTGACTTAGTCAGTTTTGGTCCAATTTGATCATCGCCCTTCTTCTTCGTCGTCGCAGTTGCCACTCTATCAGCATTTGCCTAGAAAAGAAACGCTTCTGATTTAGTTGACTATTTCTTCAATAACATTCCAGTGTTGCTAAAAATTCTGTATGCACACCAGAAGTCCATTTCTTGAGTCAAATATAAATCATCATCATTCTCATTTAGACTAGTACATAGCGATACACTTTCGTGTTAACACAATCAATAGTATCAAGTTTTCCTGATTTCGCTACAGAGTGTATCTCTTTTGCATGGTTCTATGTCATCAAAAGACAATACAATCGTTGATAATTCTCCCAACCAGTTGCATCTATCGTTTCAAATTTATTAATTTGATCGTGTTATCATAAAAACAAAGATCAAATACAGAGTCAAAGTTTAACAGAAATACGAATAAATAAATCAACTAATTATTTTTACTGTTTTAAAAACTATTGAGATAAATAATAATAATAGTGAGAAAAATAGGCAAGACATCAGTTGCATTTCTCATGGAATTAGCGTACTTTGATTTAGGCACCAAAATAACAAGAAAAACAATAAGACACTGTCTTAACATCATATCAAAAGAAAAAGATAGCATCTGTAGCTATTTCAAGTAAAATATCTGATTTGTAAATCATCAAATGTAAAAAAGAAAAATAAGACTACCTAGCCTCTTCTAATCATAAAATTGATAGACAGGAATACAAAGCACAATATCTGTATGCAGTTTAACATCAACACAAAAACATTCATTGAAACTCTATGAGAAAGATTCAATGAATCCATGAAATAACTGACAATGAGAA